TGTCAACATAATTATGGAGTGTAATGTATTTTCAACTCAAAATATCTTCAAACTAACAAAATATAAAGTTATTATGGAGGAAAACCCGTCTGCATAACAGCAGACTGACTGCTGGTAAAATATACGACAGGTCTGGACCACTCGTAAATTTTGTTCGTATCTGAAAAAAATCGTAGAATACGAAAACATTGGTGAATGCCACAAATTCTCCTAAATCACTCGTACGCAAAATTTAAGAACAAATCTGTGCGTATGAACGGTTCTTGCATGAGGCCCATTGATTCTGGAGCTGACACCGAGTTTATTGACCTGATTTTGCTTTTTCTCTGGGCATGCKGACACACCCAACTACTAAGCCCCACAGTGTCCTGGCCGACGTCACCATAAAGAACCCTCTTTCCCTAATGATTTCTGCTTTTGACCTCACACTGGGAGCCAAGATCTTCACCAAAATGGACCTTCGCAACGCCTATCATTTGGTGAGGATCCGCGAGGGAGATGAGTGGAAAACTGCTTTCAACACCCCTTCTGGCCATTATGAGTATCTTGTCATGCCATTTGGACTAACCAATGCTCCTGCTGTTTTTCAAGCTCTGGTTAACGATGTGCTCAGAGATTTTATTAATATCAACGTATTAGTCTATCTTGATGACATTCTGATTTTTTTCCAAGGATCTGGAATCTCATGTCCAACATGTCCACACCGCCCTACTTCGTTTGCTCCAGAATAACCTTTATGTTAAGGCAGAGAAGTGCGAGTTTCACACCACCAGTACCACGTTCCTGGGCTTCATTGCATTATTATTTTTTCCAGAATAWTTTAATGATTAAGTTTATCACATGAACAATACATTATGTGGATGAATGAAATATAATTTTTTTATTTGCTCCTTCATATTTATTTCTGATATAACATGTATAAAATTCAYCATTAGTAAAAAGGCTTGAACAAATCAGGTTATCTGATGAACTACACACAGAACATCACATGGTGCAAATAAAACAACAAAAAAGTAAAGCCCTGTGTTTCTGCATTTTTCTGTTTTAACTAGAGGACTGTTTGCAAAGGGGCCAACCACCTACCTCATTTTGTACATAGTTGTGTGTATAAAAAACATCATYAAACACACAAAAACTTAAATGATCAACTATAGTTAAATGCATTTTACTTCTTACATGGAATGTCTTAAACAAAATAGAAGTATATTTTTGTTGTTTTTGCTATGTTCTGGAATACAGAATCTTCACCAGCKTTTACATGTGCCTGTTTGTTACGTGTTCAAAAGATTAAAAAGTGCAAACCTTTCTGCCACATAAATAGGAAGTGTGATGTTTACTATAATTATCATGTTGGCATGTATGACTTGACAAAATATTTTAAAACCATCCATATTTTACAATACATTTTTCTTTATGAAACATTTCTTTGAGTTTTTSTCAGGTTGAAATAATATGATGAAACACTTTGGAGCAAATATACACAGAATCAGACCAAAACTGGAGGCCAGGATGGCAAATATCTCCACAGCCACAGTGAATTTTCCAGGAGAGCTGACATATGCTGGGATGAAGGTGATCCACACTGCACAGAATATCAGCATGCTGAAGATTATCAGCTTGGCTTCATTAAAATTATCAGGTAGTTTCCGAGCTAGAACAGCTAACACAAAGCAAAAAACAGCCAGCAGGCCAATGTAGCAGAGCACAGCCCAGAAGCCAACAGCAGAGCCTAATGCACATTCCAGGATGATCTTCTCCTTGTATGTGCTCAGGTTTTTCAATGGAAATGGAGGGTTAAATGCTAACCACAGAGTACATATTAAAAC